AAACTAAACTAAAGAAACTCGACAAACATGATGAAAGTCCCAAGAAACCAAAAACAACCCACAAACACTCCAACTCACTTCAACTTGATCTCCTTCTCCCCCTCATACTGCAATGCAACCCTCGCATCCCCCACCTCAATCTCTATACGGTCGATCTGGGAGTCGATACTCCATCCCCCTCCCAACTGTCCTCCTTGCCCTGACCCTTGTCCCTGAACACTTCCTCCACCGTGCCCGTGATTTGATTGACCATGCCCGTGCCCGTGGTTACTCTTCTCGCGATAGGACCCGTACCCTGGTCCAGGGACAGACTGCGTCCTCGTATGATGATGCCCATGTTGACTCCCGTACGTATACGTATTATGTCCATCCACACTCGTTCCTCTTCTCCCCGTTCCCCCAGCACCAGCATAAGAGGCAGCCGACACCGGCGCATTCACATTCACACTCGCATACGCAGCAGCAACCTGTCCAACCTTCCTTAAATCCCCTACCCAATAAACTCTCATTCTACTACTTTCACTCATAATCACCGCTGCAGTTTCAAAGTCCCTGCTGAGGACAATCGTATCCGCCGAGATAATCGGGGCGTCGATCTCGGTTTCTTGGTTTTGGTTCACAAGCTGGCGTCCTCGTCCTCGTTCCCGTTCCTGCCGTTGCCTCCTACGCTCGTTCTCCAACTCTCTCTGTCTCGGTGTAGCTTCGGGGAACGGCATATTAGCAGTAGCGGTATCCGACGTAGGACTCATAAGACCAGGAGTAGGGATAGGAATTAGAGGGTTAGGGTCGTTTAGATTAATCCTCGGTTTATCTTTCTTGTTCTTGTTCTTTCGTCTCGTAGAAGGGTTCGCTTTTAGCTTTCTCCCGTTATAAGAGCTGCTTAGAATCGAAGTAGAGCTTCGGGCTGCTGGAGGGTAGCTCATTGCGTTAGAGTTGACGTTGGTGTTGGACGTTCTACGAGGTGTGTATCCAGGATAAGGCTCGTACGGCTGCGTTCCCGTTGGTCCTGGGATGGTGGTCGAAGTAGTAGTCGTCCCGGGTAACGGGGGTGTCGTCAGGTTTTCGTAAAACACGGACTGTGGTTGTGACTGTGGTTTGGACGTCGTGACCGTAGCCGTAGCTGCAGTATTTGCACCAAGCACTGGTGAAGAAGGAGAAATAAACTTTGGAAGAGGGGGAGTTGGAGTTGGAGCCGAAATATCGACAGAAGGAGTAGGAATCCTAATTTTCACTGTAATCGTCCCTTGGAACGACCTCGGCAACGACAAGTGTAGAGGCCCATTTTGTGTTTGGAGGAATAGGTGGAAAGGAGGACGGGAGGGTGTTGGTGTGTGCTATATTATATTTTCCAAGGGTGAGAGAAAGAGAAGAGAAGACGTCAGCATGCATGTCTCACTTGATACCAATAGAAAAACAAAGGTTGGAAGAAAGACTCACAATCCTCGCAAACAAAGGCCACTTGTCCTCTTTCTTCTTCTTCTTTCCTTTCGCTTTCGCCTTTCCTTTCGCCTTCCCCGCCGCACTCTCATCCCCAGCAGCAGAGGAAGAGACAGAAGGAGATATCCCCATCCAAAGCATCGTTTTCATCGGTGCTGGCCCATACCCATACCCCTGCCCACCTATCATCGCCGCCGCCGTCGAATTAGACGACGCTCCATGACCCAAATTCGAGCTCGACCCCGCTCCAGGAGGCGCAGAATGATGCTTCTGTCTCTGCTTCTGCTTCTCTCCTCGTCCCCGTACCCGACCGTCGCCTTGTTTCTGACTCGCACCCTGACCCTGGTTCTGGTTATACTTTTGATAATGATACCTATGCTCCCCTCTCTCCTTCTCCAACTGAACCCGAACCCAGTCTTCGTCTCCGCCTTCACCACCTCCTTCAGGTCCTTCTCTTTCTTCGTCATCATCAGACGAGGAGGGAGAGTCTACCGGGATAGGGACTCGGGGGATACCCATTGGGCCTGGTCCGTGTCCGTGTCCGTGTCCGTTTCCATTTATAGTGGGGGAAGTAGAATGAGCATGAGGAGATGTAGGTGGAACAGGCGGTGGAACGGTCGGTGGAGTCGGCAAGACTCTAGACCTAGTCGTCGTTGTCGTTGTCATCGTCGTCTCTGGAGTAGTCGTACTAGGTCCATTCACCGTTGGCCCCGAACTAGGAGGTGCCGAAACAGAAGTCGCAACTTGTGGAGAAGACAGCGGAGCGACAGATAACTGCTGTTGGATCTGTGCCAGACTCCCATACGCCCCCGTACCGAATCCGGCTTGTTGGAGAGAAGGCGAGACTTGTACCCCGTTCATAGATGTAAGAGGGAAAGGTAGAGGTAGAGGAGAGGAGAGCACAGGAGGCGTAGGTAGAGTCCCCAACAACCACACATCTACATCTATACCACCTCCCTGAGTCTCAAGACGGAGGTTCTTTCTCTGAAACTGGGATCGAACTTGGTTTTGAAGCTGAACCTGGCGTTGACGTTCCCTTTCCCGTTCGTCACGTCTTCGTTCTCGTTCGCGTTCTCGTTCATTTTTGTATTGATGAGAAGCACGACGAAAGTGGTTTTGGACTTGGTTGTGGTTTTGAGTATAACTGGGTGTCCGACTTCTCGCTCTCGTTCCCGTTCTCGTCTGTTGACCTTGACCCTGCTCCAAACGAGCAATAGTCTCCCTCTCTACACGTTCTCTCCTCGCCTGCTCAGTCTCTCCCTCTGGACCATCGTTCCCAGAAGAAGAATAAGGCAACTCCGAGTCTGTGCCTTGACCCAGCCCCAGTCCCAGTCCCTGTCCCTGCCTCTGCCCTTGACCCAGATCTTGTCCCAACCCAACAACAGACACCGACGCAACCCCACCATCATTCGCATCATAAAAGTAATCCCCGTAATCATACACATAAGCACCCAGCTCATCCTCCGAATCCAAATCCGAATCAACATCCGACTCAGGGTACTGCCCGTCCTCTCCATAGCCTTCATAAGCATAATCGTAATAATCCGGATCCGAATCGAGAGGGGGTAAAAGTTCCGGAGGGATATAAAGGAACGGGTTGATAGTAAACGTCCCAGAGATCAAACACTCCCCCGCCGAACCGTGTTTATGCCCATTACCCGCTCTATCCTTCTCTTTCCCCTTTCCTTTTCCTGATAAAAACGGTATTCCAGCCCCAGACCCAAACAACCCTTCAAAAGAGAACAACCTCCTCCTCTTTCCCCCTGTAGCACCTTTCCTAAAAATCGAGGTATAGTTCACGGGGTTTAGCTTGATACCTGGAGGTAAAGGACTAAGAGGCGTCCCGCTTCGACGAAACGTGTTCTGCGTCAAGGAACGAGCAGAGTCGAGGCCTGCGCCTTGACCGAGGAGGAGGGGTTGTGAAGAGGAGGAAGAAGTAGCTGCGTTGGCTTGGGTGTTGGCTTTGGTTTGGTTTTGGTTAGAGGTAGAGGTAGCTGGGAGAGTAACAGAGGATGACGAAGCCCCGTGTCCGCGGGCACTGTGGGATTTCTTCCCTCCGATCTTGAGGCTCCCTGTACCATTCACTGTCCCGGCAGGAGTAGCTGTAGTAGCTAACGCAGGTGTAGACGCACTAGCTTTCCTAACCGGCGTCAGAGGTACCGTATTTCTCAACGGTGAAGGTGCAGTCGTTGTAGGTGTATTGGTAGACGACCGAGACCGATTATGGTGAGGATGCTTCATGAGTGCATTTGATGCAGGTTTGGAAGTAGTGATGGTAGAAGGTTGGAATGTGACGTTGAGATTCGTCGTACTCGTGCTCGGGTTTGGAGCAGGAGCGGAAGTGGTAGGATTTGGGATAGAGGTGGATACGGCAGTACTACTGCTCGTACCAACACTCCCAAGAGTCCCAACGGTCCCCACCGTAGTACCTGTAGTGGCTGTAGCATTCGTAGCCGTATCATCCGACTGCTGTTGAAGCTGATTATGATTATGATACGTAGGAAGATGGAATCCCGGAGTCGGAGATGTCGATGCTGCTCGCGCTTTTGTGTGTTCCGCTGGAGGTGTATCTCGAGTGATAGGCAACGAAATTCGTTTTGGCTTCCTTAACAAGGGATGGTTCTGGTTTTGGTTAATGTCCGAGTTTGAGGTGGACGGATGCCATTGGACGTGTGTACCCGAAGGTAGAGATGATGAAGCTTGGTGGTATTCCTCTTCTTCCTCCTCTCGATACTGCCTCCTCCTCGCCTCATTCTCATCTACAGCCAACTCTGGCTCCAACTCGGGAGACACGGGTCTACTAGGCGCAGAAACCAGACTCGTTTCCGACCCGTCAAAAGAGGGCGTTCGAGAGACATGATATCTGTCCCCACCAACATCTGGGGATTTTGTCTGTTTCGGGATATGGATGGGGAGTGCAGCACGGGTACGTGTACGGGGGCTGAACATCGTTGGGTTGGTGGTGGTGGTGTGAAAGCCAAGGGAGTATTAAGGAAATCAACTAGAAAAGAAGTCGAAGAATCAACGCGTGTAACGATAAATATACTCACCAAAACCTAACCTAATATTCTAAATGTCCAAGTCGTCTACCGACCCTTTCTTTCGCTCCCCGGCGGACCCAGGCCAGACCTGATAGTCGTCTGTCTGTCAGTCAGTTGAAGTGGACCAGTCGGAAATATGTACGGACGCTAGCGAAGAGTTATACAGTCTCGTGGCAGTCTCGGCGCATGTGCAGGAACGAAATATATCCTTCTTTTCCCAAGCTGCGAAATGAAAAAAGATAGATGAGCACGCAAATAGATGTATACTTTCAAACATACTTTGCATTGTCCTATTGTCACCCTCTCTCTCCCGAAGTTCGCCCGTTCCAGTCCAAAGTTTTTGTTTGAGCTTCTCCGATAGACGGCGACGGACGTACATCGTGCTTGGTGGAATGCTTCTGATGGATGACGTCCATCACAGAGCCTCGAGGCGGACTATGAAATTTCAAATCAACACGAGGCGCGTCGGACGGTGACTCCGGGCCGGCCACTGAATCTGTTTTCGGTGGGCACAATCACAGTGATCCCTTAGCTCAGCGGTAGAGCGTCTGATTCCAGTTCCCACCAGCTCTTCATAGAAGCTTTGGATCCAGAAGGTCATCCGTTCAATCCGGGTAGGGGTCACTGAACGAAATCAAGTCTTGATGTTTTTGCAAGGTTGCAAAATGGTCTCTTTTTTCTTGCAAAACTTGTGCTTGCTTTATTTACACCCCGCACAACTAGGTATACTTGGCTTGGAATCATAGAGCATCTCGATATCGGTACTTATTCACATGAGAAGAATCTCAACAAAAATATATAAAGGAGGAAGCTAAAGCATCGATCTCTGGGCTCAGCGGTAAAGGCAAAGATAAATATATGGCCATGTCCTTGCTAAAAGAACAGCCGGCTCACGGAGACAGACTATGAATTCATTGACGCAAGCTTGCATCCTGTCTGCAAGTAATTCCTACTAGTAATGATGTTGTAAAGCGGTAGAGCGCTCGATACCAACTTTGAAAGTCTCCGGAAGGCCATCTGTTGAAACCCGGATAGGTGTAGATTAAATTTACCTTTCACTTTTTTCATTTTATCTATTCGCACAATATGAGTGATCAGGTTTTCTACTTCTCAAACCAACTGAGAAGTTCATAAAAGTATAGACTAAACTAGACAGAGTTCATCCAAATCGAGACAAGCAATAGACTTGACAATGCCCAGAAGCTGTACATCAAGTCCTTGATTCAACGGTCCAATCAAAATGAACAAGCCATCAAATCATCACCCACTCAACTAAGGCAGCATCGTGAATCCTTCTAAATAGACCGTATCTGCTACACGAATTAGACCGTATCTGCTACGCAAGTTAGACCGTATCTGCTATGCGAATTAGAGCATATCTGCTACGCAAATTCAGTTTGGTGTTTGTATTTCGCTAAGTGGAGATACAACATTCATTAAGCTCCGCACCAAAAATCTTCAAGTGGAGGTAGCATTGTCACCGGCGTGACAGACAAGCCCGAGAATTACACGTCGAGCTCGAGCCCCTAAACACCCCAACCTTTCCTCCTCATTGAAAGCTCTTGTTCACCAGGGCCAGTAAAGTCTAAAACCTTGATCTCGGATGAGCACCTACAGTGCTACGGTCGTGTCAGTCACACTATGTCACATCCATTTTTCATCATGTCTCCAACCGTTTATCATTAGCTCCGCTCCCAAATTTCATTGTGAAGCATTCAAATATCCGTGTAGCAGATATGGTCTAATGTTTCGGTCATATTTATAAAATTATGCCATGTTTGTCCCTCTGAAAAAAATCAATAACCGAAAAAATATCTTATTATCTAGCAATGGCTAGAATTTGGATCAGTGACACGAAAATTTGTAATCGGCCATGACTCTGCATAAACATCTCAATTTTCCTGCCATTCTACTTAGCAACCATTGACTCCGGAAACTGATTCATTGAATGGGCTATTGACAGTTCCGCAGAACAGAAGATTGACTGTCAGATCAAGCTACTTCAACAACCATTTATTAGGGAATATTAGCAACATGTCAGAAAGTGGTGCACTTTCTGCGGAAAATTACGCGCTTAGTTGCTATTTTTGTCACCACCTCCCGCAACATCTCTACACACAGGACTCCAGGGTTCAACACATCTGAAAACGATTGTACTTACTCATAGGATGGTCAGAACCAAACATAGTGTCGTGAAACTCAGCGAAGGCGTTGAGGACACTGCTACCCTTAGTCTAAGTATAGCTTTTGGTTCGAGTTTCTGCGAAAATCGCTTATCATTCTGACGCAGCAACACCATAAATTACTTTCTGACGTGTTGCTAATACTCCCTATTTAGTACTCATTGCGTCTATAAAGGCATCATATAATATAATTTTTAATGCAGGCCATGGATATATACCTTGTATCTGGGAAATTATGGCTTTGCTTTTTAGTATTTGACTGCTACAATTTGCCAAGTTCTTTAAATTAATTGTAGCCAGCGGCCCCCTTGTGACGGTTTTGACCATAATGTTATGATTGGTTACCAGATTTGTTTTTGATCAGAAAGTTGCACAGTAGTATAGCTGTGACCTTGGTATCGATGAAGATATATTGTGTCCAAGATATTTACATAAGTCATGATTTTTCACTCATTTTGATGCCACCCAGTTCCCACCAGCGAAGTTACACCTGTCTCATTCTTCTATTGTCTCCAAACAATCTTTGGACATTGTCTACTCTTTTATCGATCCTAGTGGTGCATTCCCTCGTTCTTTCAGACCATGAAGTTTAATCTTCTCACCTTTGCTGCAAGCACACTGTTTGCTTTGGACGTACTTGCCCAAATGCAAATTAACACTCCTGGAAACCTAGTAGAATGCCATCCTGTGCTCCTTTCATGGTCAGGAGGACAACCCCCTTACTTCCTCAGTGTTGATCCTGGTAACCAACCAGGTGCAGCAGCTCTAGAGCAACTAGGTGAACAAAACGGCACATCCTTCGTCTGGTTAGTCAATATTCAAGCAAACACTCTGGTTGGATTTACAATTCGGGACTCCACTGGTGGTACTGAACAAACTGCTGCTGTTGCCATTCAAGACAGCGGAGACAGTTCTTGTGTAGGAAAGGCAATCAGCTCTGGCGGAGGTTCTGCTGCAATTACAGGAGGTTCTGCACCTACGTCCAAACCTGGTGATACATCAGTGAGCTCCACTCGGCAGATTACCTCGTCCAATACGTTGTCAGTGACAAAGTAAATTCTCAAATCTTCTTCCATTTTGCATGTATTGATCTGATTCAAGTTCCACATCCACCGATTCAATTAAAGGAACCCTCACCAAATCAGTGGTTGGCACTAGTACAGCTATGACTAGTTCTACTTCTTTCACATCATCCACTAGTGACCCCATACCCCCATCATCAAATTCATCTGATATCAAATCTGGTAATACAGATACAAAGGCGATAATAATCAGTTCGGTGCTTGGTTCAGTCATACTGGTGATTCTGATCATTGTTCTGGTGCGTCAACATAAAATCAAACGGCAACAAGTTGTCAGCCCAGAGCACAGTCTTCCAGATCGCAATCAACAGCAAGCACCAAAAGATATCCCTTTTATGTCGAGCTGGATATCACAATCTTTCTTTAAAAAGACCCCTACTCCTACTTTAACAAATGGTCATGTAGTAGAGCCGTTCATATCTTATGATGAACATGCAAGTGGTGTAATGCGAGAGGAGAATCTGCATAACACTACAGATACTCAACCCAGGGGGGAGAGAAACAGTGCTAAAGAGTTGTACAAGAGACAACCTTATGATGTAGATTGGAGGAAATTGATGGAGAGATCTGGGGCAGAAGAGGGATCCAATAACAGACCAGGACTGATGCATTCAGCTGTTGATCCACCTCCTTCTTATACAACTGATTAGGAAGTTATTCAGTAATTTGATTATTCTTGTGCTGGCTAGCAGTGTTGCAAAACCTGGCTCTACATTATGTGGTAAGTGCAAAAATCCAGAGGGTCATCTGTCCAATCCAAGTTGGAGTTATGTAATGGCTATGGACTGGTACCTACCCACATAGCTTTCACTTTATGAATTTATCATCATTCCTCACTTGTCTTTTTATCCATCTCTGACTCTGATCCTGTTTAGCATCATCTTAGTCAAACCAGGTAAGACAGCCCTTAGCTTATGAGATTTGTTCTTTTCTGGACTTTTTGGTTTCAGCCACCACCTCTATCTCCACCCATGCCTACCTCTGGGTGCTGTTGTCATTGTAGGCTATCAGGCCTTCCTGATGGCATTTGCCACCTGTCATTCACATCAACTATAAAATACACTCTTCACCTACAGCTATCATCAGCCATACACCCCATGCATATGGGAGCATGGTAAACGTAATGTCTGCAGTCCCATACTCGTATATATCAATTTTTTAAATTGACATATCCATTATTCAAATATTCTTTATCTAAATGCAACCCAAATATTTTTAGCAATCATGCAATTAGCCCTAAAAATAGAAAGAATATTATTAGAATGTTGTTCCACTATAACCCTATGGAATATTTTAATGCTAAGTGTCAAGTACATTCAAATTTCAGCATCCCAAGGATTAAAATATGTTTTGGTTGGAATGGTCACAGATATCTTAAAAAAGACAACTGTGTTAGTATCAGCATGTTAAAATACCTTCAACTATTGATTATTACTTCAAAAAATGTGTAACATGATAGCCCACATGGTTACCAGACTTTACTGTGATTCATAGGACTACTTCTAATTTTTTGAAAAACTGTTTTATCTACTCTAGTAGTTTGCTACAACAAAGACTATCCAATTCCTTGAAAATTGTCATTATTGAAGTATCTATACTGTATCATCTGAGTTTAATATAATACTCATAGGTACAAAGAGTCATGGTCCTTTGACATTCACATGTTGATGCTATGTCATCAATTCTTATATTCCTTTAGCTGTTGTTTATTCTAGATATTTGAATGGTATATTACATGGATAGGCTCCACCACTCTATGTATATATTATTCAATGTTTCATTTTACTTGTGAAAGTTTACCCACAAAATCCTTAGTAATTTTACTGTTTGTAAATTTTTGCAACTTTTACTTACTAACTATTTCTTTTGGGAGAAAATCATTAGTACTTTATTTCATGAATCAGCCTCAGAAATATATGCACAAAATTCATGATTCTGTATTCATGCACATTATTTGAGGACAGGTTTTAAAAGCAAGAGCTCTATATCTCTGTTACTATCTACTTAATGCATGCTTTCAAAGGTTGGTGTTTTATGCACAAATTACAATAAAACAATTTTTGGCAACAGGACCATTGCACTAGTACATAACTTGTAATGAATCTGGGCCATTTTTATATGAGGTATACAGGAATATCTCCGATAGATGGCGACGGATGTACATCATGCTTGGTTGAATGATTCCTTGGATGAATGACGTGCATCACAGAACCTCGAGGCAGACTATGAAATTTCAAATCATCCAGGGGCAACATTGGACAGTAACTCGGTGCTAGCAAGTAGATCTCTTTACTTGCGGTGGAAAACAACCAATCGTCTAATTCCAGTTCAGAAATCGGAAGCCAGGTTTGGATCCAGA